TATAACGTAAGTGATTTTAAGGAAAAAGAAATAAGTTATGTAATGTTTATGAAAATTCGTTAAATGAAGTATGCGTCGTATGGAAAACAAATAATGTAACTAAGACATTTTAATCGCTGTTACATGATGATTCTTTCTCTTCTAATGTCATTCTCAACATTTTTTGGATTTCATTTTGCTTTTGTTCTTGAAATTTTTTAAACGAAATATATTTTTTAAACTCTGCGTACGTTACTGCAATAGTCATAGCTGAATGCTGGCTTTCTTTCCATAAAACAGACAAGCTTTTCAATAGCTTTTTCAATTTCAGTCCAGGTTTCATTACAATAATGCATCTCATCACTATCTTGTTGCAGATGTGTCTCGTTGTCATCCTTTCCTCTTATTTCCATCATCTTTTGCACCAATAGAAGCCATTAGGGTGAAATAAGCATAAGCAATTATCCAAAGTAAATTACCTGAAAAAAAGAAATTTCAAATCAGTTACATATCACCCAAATAGTTCAAATATAAATATTAAAATCATGTCCGGATATGAGGCAGTCCGGATATGAGGGATTCTACTATATTACCATATTCTGCTGTGATGTCAATGTAGCAGTTGTATAATTTCCTATTAAAGAAGTACGCGTAGGGCACCCAGGAAAATGGATCTCATGACTGATTAGCAATAAACAATCAAATTACAACGCTAACAATTTCCGGGTGCCGAGTTTATATTCGCCCAAGGCCACAATAATGCGGCACCCAGTGAGGATTAAACTCAATATACCGTAATAATAATCAACCGGTCTAGCATTAATGCAAATATCCTATCAATTAAAAAGAAAATTGAATTCATAGACGGAAAGATTTCAAATAATAATTATTTATACTATTTATATTCAGACTATAGTCTCCATCTTTGTTGTAGTTATCACAACGTTTCGGCCGTTGTGCTTCCCAGCCTTCCTCAGCATACTGAATATTCTGAACTGAACCTTTATTTAATCTACAGTGGTAGGATGTTCTTACTACAGAACTAGACCTACAGTGGGAGGGTCTAGTTCTTATTTTTTGTACTGCTCAGTTATTGCTCACTCATTTATACTGAACACACGTACATCTGCCCTGACCAGAGACTGAACTCAAACTTAATTTTTCCCCCAATTCACGAAACAACGTTTTAATCCACTTGCCTGTTTAAAGAGTAGTTTTTAGTGGGGTGGAGAATTAATTTCAACTCGGAAGTAATTTCAACTCGGAACTGTTTTTGCTACAATGGGCTTTGCATATTTATTTGATCAAACTTAAATGAATAAAAGTAAATAAGAAAGTACAACTTTATTCATTTGCAACAAATATAATGAAAGTTGCAGAAAAGATGAATACTGAATTAATTTATCCATTAAGGATTTTTGATGCTAAATTAAAAAAAAAAATAACACCAACTCGTTGCTTTTTGCTTAGGAATTCACGGATATTGATAACTTTGATTTTAAATCGAGTTGAAATTAGTTCCGAGTTGGAATTATTTCCAAGTTGCAATTAGTTCCGAACTGAAATTAATTCCGAGTTGAAATTAGTTCCGAGTTGAAATGAGTTCTGAGTTGAAATTAGTTCTGTCACTCTTTTTTTTTTCTAACGCTAAACTATGAAAACTAAACAAAAAGCGACAATTAGGGGACGCCCAGTGAGAATCTAACTCACGATTGCGTAGTAATAAGCAACTAAAATAGCTCACTGATAATGTCCAGATACCGAGACGTCGTGTTGTTTTCGTCCAAGGCAACATCTATATGGCACCCAATGAGGATCGAGCTCATGACACATTTCTAATAGTCAACGAGTCTCATTCCCTGATCATTAATGATGTCAAGATGCTCAGATTAGTTTCATGGCGAGGACACAATTATAATGCACACAGTGAGGATCAAACTCGCTACTAAACTCGTTCAAAGACCATGAACACATTCCAATGCGGTTAGTTTAATTTAACCGCAAGGCAAATAAGTATGCATTACCCAGTTAAGATCGAACACGCTAATAGAGAGGAATGGCCATCTGGACGAGCTAGCTAACCATTACCAGACGCCTATTACTAGTTTAGCCAAAAGGTCCTAAGTATGAGGCGTTCAAGACGAGCTCTTTAACCACTTCTCTACACGACCATATATTTTAAGTAGCAACAAGCGGTCGTTTTAACTTCCTTAACGCAGTAAAATATAAACGAATAATGGTCTTGGTTCTTTTCGTCGGGCCATCGATTATTTATGTCGTCATAAACGCAGTAACACTTGCGTCTCGGAGGAATAAAAGACTATTTTTGTTGCATAGCTTTTTTAATTACTTTATTGCTTAACCGTCTCCTGACGATGGTGTACATTAAATTGGCAGCCGACCAAAATATTTCGTTTCCAATGGACAGGGCGACGAGATATTTTTATCACGTGAATCTACATTACAAGCGCTAATGGAACTTGCAATAATCTTGGTATTTTATATTTTATAACAAAACAAAAGCAATATTTGAAAGTTTTAGTAGCTACAAATCGAGAGCATTAATTTCAATGCATTTAATAAAAATAAGCGCTGTTCATTGGTTTTAAATTGTTTTAATTGCTGCATTCAACTTGTCAAAATATCTGACTATTATTTCCATTAGTAATGTTGTACAGCAATTATGAATAAATGGAAAATTTTTCTTTTCTTTCTGTTTAATAAAGACCTAATTTCTAGTTCCGGTGTGTGTGTGTGTGTGTGTGTTTATTACCGTAACACAGAAAATATAGCACACTGTAGCATAATTTCTGTTAGCTAAATATAGTTAACTTGTTCTCGGATGAATAACAAAAAAGTTCCAGATGAATCGCACCATTAGTTTCTGAGGAACATTAAGTTAAGTATAAAATGATAAAACTTACTACCTCCACAATAGACTCTTTCAGGCTTATATTAAGTAGGCGACATAGCACTCTAGAGAGTGACAGAGAGAGACAGTGAGAGAGTCTAGTGCGACTACCAGTGTTGGACACTAACTTATAGTAAGCTCCGCTTACACGATCTCTGTAACCTGTTGTTAATATATCTTTCTTACATCTAATCCGTGTTCCGTGTTTTCCTTCTGTGGTCCCAATTTTGGCCCCACAACACTTATTTATCTAAGGGGGATAACTCTAGTTTATTAACTGCTATTTACAGTCACATTGCGGAATTTTCTTAAAATAATATTAGCGGAATATTCAGGATATAGTCCTTAAACTGTGGATCTTCTTGCAGATATAGGGGACATTAACGATTACTAAATATTATTTAAAAATAATGTGTTAGTTTATTGTTAATTAACATTTATAAATAATTATATTATTATTTCTACCAATAGGAGTTAGGATATACAAGGTACGCTACTGAATGCGCCAATTATAATAAAAAGAATCGTTTTTATAGACTTCATTAAAACATGCAATTTTAACGACATGTGTTCAGTTGCCAGTGTTGTGGCTGTCAATCTTCAGTTCCTCTGTAGGTTTACCAGCTTTGAATCAAAGACATACAGTTTTTCTTAGTTTTATTTTCTCATTTTATATTCTTGGAGGAAGAGCGCATTCGAGAGAGAGAAAGTGAGAGAGTGAGAGAGAGAGAGAGAGTGAGAGTGACGAAAGAAGAGCAGATATTAACAAGTCAGCCTGCTTTTAACTTCTCCACGTACTTGAACTCATGCTTTGAACCTTGATCGGTCAAGGATTCCGATTCTAGTCTCGCTATTGAAATCCCGACCGACGCAAAGGAGATGAAGACACTGATGAACACAGGAGTTATCGTCTCTACTGCCCCCAGGCGTGACACCAGCTTTCAAAATGCAGACAAAGACAAATCAAGAGCAAATCACTGTAAACAATTTTACTATAGAATAAAACGTAAAATATTTTACAAGAGGAACGAACTGAAAATCATTTCAAGAGGGATTTACTGTGACTTTCACTTAAAAGGATACTGTAAAATCACCTTTTCAAAGCTATTCAAATAGAAATATCAACTTAGAAAACCAAAGGTATGATCCATCAAACATTTGAAAATGTATATTTTAAGGCTGTCTTTAAAAATGAAAATACTAAACGTCGGTCAGAGAGGCTAACGAAAAAACAACGTAGCCATATTTACGGTATCTACTGTCGAATTATTGTCATAATTTTTGTTGATATTATCTCAGTGTTTTGGTCGTCGCGTCCTTCAGGGCAATTTGAATTGAACACTTTATTTAATATACGAGAAAATATTGTTCTCATTATACTGTCTATTTTAACAAGTGTCACGTTTATTTCATTTTCGTACTACTCAATTATTGTGTCTAGCGGCTTGGATTGAGGAATAGGAGAGCTGAGTTCGAATTCCAGTCAGTTCCATTACATTGACTTACGTTCTAATACCCTTGGGAAAGGTGTGAATCCACTTCTTCTCACTACAGCTAAGAGTAAAATTCAGGACAGACTGGGTTCTATAGACTTGGATGGCAACTGGTCTAGGAGAAAGACAAGTCTGAATACAAACCCGTAGTGGACCCCCTAAGCGGATGGAAGGCACTATGTGCTACTTCCGGCAGTCGCGCTGGTACCAAACTGTATTGGTTTATCCTATACAGAAATCGACGTGTCCGTTTGAGACATCATGTTGTATTGATTAAAGCCGATTGATAAATGTTCTGTCCATGATTTCAATGAAGCTTAACCATGTAGATATATTGACACGCGAATTAATCTTTCCGAATAGAAGGATTATTATTTCTCAATGATTTCTTTTAAATCCCTTAACTCTGTAAACTTTTTCCAGTTTTTCAGTCTTTTTTTTCTCATAAGAAACCCCATTTAATACCTTTCTACAGTAAAATTTGAATAGTTTTTCCTATAATAATTTTTTCTACTTTAAATCAAATTAAAAGAAGCCGTCAGTAAAACTAAGTTTACTTCAATGAAACTTGATATAGAAACAGACTATGTTACTTTAGAGTATTACAAGTTAATGTTGTTGAAACTCCGAATCCCGTACAATCATCGAAGTTAAGCAACGTCGAGCCTCGTCAGTATCTAGATGGGTGGCGGCTTGGGAATACGAGGCGCTGTAAACTTGGATATGCGTGTGATGTAATGGAAATGTTTCGGTTTTGTTAATCGAAGTACCGAGTTTCAAATCCAGCTGGGTTCGTTATATTCGCTTACATGATAATAAACTTGGGAGATAGTATCAGTCCACCTCTTCTTCTGCACACCATGGGCTAACTATTAAGACTTCTATCCTGAAATCATTATTACCTCCTAATATATAAATATATATATATATATATATATATATCTCTCTCTATATATATATATATACAAACACGTATATATATGTGTGTATGTATTCATTTTCACTTATAGCCTTGGGAATTGTATAAATCCACCCCTTCTCCCTCATCTATTGGTTAATCAGTAGGACTTCCACCAGTAAATCAGTATTATCTACAAGAAATTCTTACAATCTGACCCTATTTTCAGGCTTTAAATAACCTGCAAAAGTTTAATAAACCGTTAAAACGAATCAATAAAACAAACAGATTTTCATTTGCTTTCCAAAATATTTTTACATTTACTCATTAATTCCCTATTTTTTTTAAAAGCTAGAGATACCATGCACATAGCCGCCATATTGTCTTTGTCACTTGATATTTTAAAGTCATACTAAATTCCATAATCTTTAAGAATGAGTGGACTGTCATTTCCGTTCGTCAAGGTACAACATATGAGGTTGACAATTCAAAAAATTGCCATGGCCAGTTTTCGCACAAGCATACTTAAATATACCATGCAATGCCTTAAAAATAAATGCATATTTCAGGAGACTTCTTTATTAATTTCAAATTGCATGACTAATTTCTTCTTGTTAAAAGTTAAACGGTGCCCCAGAGTTTTAGTTATTCGGCATCTACACCCTGAAGTAAAAAAAAGGCTATGAAACATTGCTCTACATACTTGACAAGGCTGAAACACACACACACACACACACGCGCGCGCACGCGCGTATTTTTCTACATGTATAAACAGAGGATGTCTGTGTGCCTGTGTGTATGAAACCTTTTCACTCAAGATCGATTCAACTGATTTTGACCAAACTTGGCACAATGTAAGAGATAGCGTAAAAAATCTATAATTTTAAAAAAATCAATAATCGATAAAGACGATAAAGATTCGATAAATTCAACGTTTTTCCTCAGATTTCGTACAAAATCGGTATGTAGGTTACTTACATCATGACGAGCTCAACGATTCCTCATTTTTTATTTCTACGCCACTGCGTTTCTCGAATAACCGCGAAAAACCAAAAATCGATTTCAACACAAATCGATTTCAACACAAATCGATTTCAACGCAAATTTTAGACTAAAATCTTTTTCAAATGTCAAATAATATAATACAAACTTCACTCAGTTGTAGCAACAATAAGTTGATTGTTAACAGTCATTTTAACTTGATAATTGAGTTCACCCATATCGTTAAATACTGCGTAAATAGCGAAGAATGACGATTTTTACTGGTTTACTTTCTAATTTTTCGTTCATCTTTCAACTAATATTCATCAGACTTAACAATTGCTCTATAAACGTATCCTCTTTTACATCCATGGTAACACACTGACAAATTGAATTTCAAAATCTCTAAAATAATTGTGGTCTGTAGTGGGTCTTCATGTTGTCTGTTTTAACCCTTCATTTCCTCGGCTAACGTCGATTTAATAAATACAGACTACTTCTGTTATATCAGTAACTGCATTAATCCAAAATGTTTTTTAAAGAAAAATAATTGAAGGTAATTGAAAAAGATACTTTCTGTTGTATCTGAACATGGTACTGTTTTTGCTCCATTCTAACTGAACGCTTTCTTTCTGATGGAGCAGCTGGCTATGGTTGCTAGTATAAAATATATTTAGGTAGCAAGGATTCTTTTAATGAAAAAGACCGACAAAATTTGTCTGTTCAATTTCTAAATAAGTTTCTCCGATGTCTAAAATGTTTAAGACAAATATTCATATTCATTTTTCTTCTTTTTTTGGAAATCCGAGTATTTTCGAATGTTGCTACAGACATTATAAAAAATTGCGTGGTAAGTCTGTTTATAAAACTGCGTTTATCTAATTCCGGCTTTGGTAGAACCAATTTCACAACACTGGTGACGTCATTTACCACGGTCAAAGAGAATCTTTACCTAATCTATCTATCTATCTATCTATCTATCTATCTATCTATCTATCTATCTATTTTTCATTCGACCTATCTATCTATCTATCTATCCTCTTTTCTTTCTTCTCTCTCTCTCTCTCTCTCTCTCTCTCTATATATATATATATATATATATATATATATATATATATATATATATTTCAGTAAAGGTGCAATTAATTTACAAATTCATGAATTATTCATACAAAAAACAAATACAAAGGTTAATGATTTAATTGGCGAGAAATCCATCTTCACGAACAATTCAAATAATATACAAAAACCCCGAACCTGTTTATGAATGAAAAGATCCTTGTTTTATAAATTTCAGTTGCATAAGTTCTTATTTTTACAAGCTTTCGTCTGTGCCTACAGACATCCTCAGGTATGGAATAGATTTTGTTCTTGTTTTTACTCTCAGTAATAAGAGGTCAACGAAAATAGATGTATTGTAATCCGAAAAATGCTATGAGAAATGTGTTATTGTTTTGGAGCGTGCAGTCGCAACGCTGAGTTTGAATTTAAATTTTAAGGTTGTGCGTTCTTGTACAAATATAGTGATAAGAGAATTTTTTGACGGAAAATTTACCACTAAAAAAGAATTCTCTTATCACTATATTTGTACAAGAACAAGAACGCACAACCTTAAAATTTAAATTCAAACTCAGAGGAAGATGGATTTCTCGCCAATTAAATCATTAACCTTTGTATTTGTTTTTTGTATGAATAATTCATGAATTTGTAAATTAATTGCACCTTTATTGAAATTAAAATAACTGAATCAAGTGCAACTTTCGGATAATAAGTGCGACATTACTGTAATTATTGAACAATATAGTTCATGCCACTTTGACGGAAAATTTACCAGTAAAAAAGAATTCTCTTATCACTATATTTGTAACAGCAAAGTAGTCCAAATCGTATAACAACATGCGATAATTATCCAACACAACAAATGTTTAATATCTAAAAAATGCACAAAACTAATTGAGTTTCTTTACATGTTTTTCATCTTAGCACCATTTGTCGTAAGAATCACGGAATGAGAAATGGTTAAAATCATTTTGGGTTAGCCTCACTATGTCTTCCCAAATGAGCAATGATGGAAGGAAAAAGATCATTCAGAAGAGTATCACCATTCATACTCTGGTTTCCATCTTCAAGTTCCAGTCAAGAACCATCCAGAGAAGGGTGAATAATTTTTAAAAAAAAAAGAGGGCATAGTAGGAGGGAAAACTGGATCAGGAGGACAAAACAGTAAGAGAGATCATCTTTTCAACTAAAACATTTTTACTGTTCAAAGCAGAATCCAATAGGAGGTTTCCAGTAAGATATCTTTAATCAGTTCTAAGATACAACCTTTCAAAGCTTAACCTAACAATTGGATAATTTTGTTGTTACACGATTAGACAATTTTGCTGTTTTGTACATGTTAAATTCCGACTATGATTAAGTTGGCAACTAACGTGCTCAATGCAACATAGGGCCTATAAAACGTCGGATAAATGCTGAATAAAATTATTTACATTTTGATGCTAGTAACAAACAAACAAACAAAAAAAAAAAAACAATGAAATTATTTTCCATAACATAAATAAATTATTTTTCTGTATCATAGTTTCGGGATGGGGAAGAGACCCTTCCAGTGGCCTGGCCGGGATTAATTCAAGATATTTTGTTTGAAATTTTGTTATGTAAAATAAAGTAAAAAAAGAAGAATAGATATTACGTTTCGTTTTAAAATGTGAAATAATGAATGAATAATAAAATGGTAAAATAATTGCACATACAAAAAAAAAAAAAATAAGGAAATAAATTCAAGTGAAAATGTAAAAATACACATAGCGTTTCGAAATGATCAGCAAAATTAAAAAGTAAAGCGAAAGGGAATAATAATTATTCCCGTTAGTTTTTACATTTTAATTCTGAGAATTTAGAAACACATGACTAAAATTAGATTCTAATACAATTATTACGTATTTTTAATTTTAAAATAGATTCGCAAATACAAATTATACTCGTCCTGGCTAAGATGTTAAACTGCATCCGCGTTCTGGGTAAAACGTTAAACTACGTCCAGCAGCAAGGCCTCTGATCAGGATGCTTTGAGGAGCGTGGAACCACCTCTTAATTGCTGGCCTTCCCAGGGGTGGTAGCACCTGTTAGGGTTCCATCTATGGGCAAATAGTTAACAATTACCAGTAATACTTTTTTGAAAAAAAAATTATTACAAGCAATACAATTTTCAAGGAAATATATTACTAGAAACAGATTTTTGACAAAACAAAATATAGCCAGCAATAAAAATTTTTGTCGGCATTAGATAACCAATTGAGGCTGATATGCCGTAAAACAAAATAAATCTTAACCAAATAAATTATACGATGGCAACTTTTTTGTAAAACGTGGGGTTCAATGATAATGAGACTGTATATATATATATGTATTTTGTCTTTTATTATTGTGTGTTACAATTTGGGGCATATCTTGTGGAATTTGGTAACAGCTCGAGAAAAAAATTATCTGATGATACACTGCTCCAAGTAGGACGAGAAATAAACAGACTCTGAAATTACAAATTGAATTTACGGACTGTCAAGGATTACACAAGCCTTCCAAAGTTTACACAGAAAATATTGTGCGTTGGGAACATTTTGCAGTGAACATAATTTTGGTTGTAAATATGTAAAGGATAAAATAAGGGATATCTTTCCTTAGGTTTTTATAAATTGTACACTGTTCAATCATTGACGTTAATAATAAACTAATTTATATTTCAAAATTGTACTTATATTAAACGAAAATTACAATATAATACATATTACTTATAATACATTTTGTTTTGCTGTCAGTTTTTATAGCACGGGTAC